CTGAATCGGAGGACTGGAGCCCGAGCTTCATGTGTTGTCATTCCGGCTGGGGATGCAAACATGGAGATTGCCCCAGCCTTCATCAATATGATCACGAATGGGTACACCTTCTCCGGGGCTAGCAGTGAGGATCCTCATGAGCATCTTCGCCGGTTCGCGAGCATTTGTGATACTATGAAGAGCCCGAACGTGTCTGATGATGCAATCCGTCTTCGGATGTTCTCATTTTCTCTGCTAGGGAATGCATCACACTGGTTCCAAAACTTAACACCCCGTTCCATCACGACATGGGGTCAGCTTGAGAAGGTATTTCTGGATAAATACTTCCCACCTGCCTTGGCAATGAAGAGGCAAGAAAAGATTGTTACTTTTAAGCAGACTGATGATGAGAGTCTGACTGAGGCATGGGAGCGCTACAAGGGGCTGTTGATGAGATGCCCAAGCCATGGTCTTGAAGATTGGAACGTGATCATTATTTTCTTTAATGGAATCAGAAGGGAGTTTCGGGATGCCCTGAATAATGCTTCTCGAAATGGTTTCACAAGCATGGAGGCACCAGCAGCATATGATCTGGTAGAGAAGATCTGTTCAGAAGCCACTGAATGGGGTAGTGAGACCAGTATTCGAAGGAGAGGAGGCTTGCATGAGATAAACAGAGTTGCGAGTCTAGAAGCCAAGATAGATGCTAAACTGGATTCCAAGTTTGATGCACTCGAACGAAGGTTGGCCAAGATTGCTCTGGGTAGACAAGAGGAGGTTGTTTCATGTGAACTTTGCGAGGGTCCTCATCACAGGGATATGTGTCCACTAGGAGCTGCTCAGCTGGAAGATGTCCAATACATCAATAATCCGCGAAGTCAAGGCCAGGGTGGTATGTATTCAAATACATATAACCCTCAATGGAGACATCACCCCAACATGTCATGGTCAAATAATAATCCAGCTGGTGTTCGAAACATCCCACCTCCCGGTTTTCAACAGCAGCAGCCTCAACCAGAGAAGAAGCCCCAGCTGGAGGAGTTGATTTTGGCTCATATGCAGAAAACAGACAATAATTTCAAGGGCCTGGATCAATTTGTCACTCAACAGCTAGCCATCAACAATAATTTACAATCGTCTATGCTAGCTATGGAGAGGCAGATGGGACAGATGGCTCAAACTTTGGCAGATATGCAAGGTAGGATTCCTGGGACATTACCAGCAAATACTGAGAGGAATCCGAAGGATGCCATGGTTGTAGCAGTGACATTGAGGAGTGGAAAGGCCTTGGAAGACCCTAGCAGCTCGAAAAAGGTACCAGAGGCAGAAGAGGAAGCACCGGGAGAAAGATCTTGTGCAGAAAATGAAGAATCAGCCTTGCACAGGCAAAATGAAAGCAGTTTGCCTGTGCAAAAGCATGCTGCCCGTGTACCTCAAAAAGTGGAAAAATTGAAGAATGAAGAGGTAAAACCTTATGAACCTCCCGCACCATTCCCTCAAAGGTTAATGAAGCCCATGGAAGACCCAAACTTCAAGAAATTTGTGAATATCTTCAAGCAACTTCAGATTAACATACCCTTGGCGGAGGCACTTGAACAAATGCCTACATATGCTAAATTCTTAAGGGAGTTGCTGACAAAGAAGCGGAAATGGGCTGATCTAGAGAAGGTAACCCTTACTTCTGAATGTAGTGCTGTGATTCAGAATAAATTACCAGAAAAGAGGGATGATCCGGGCAGCTTCACCATTCCATGTGTCATTGGAGGTACAGAATTCAATAAATCACTTTGTGATCTTGGAGCAGGAATTAATTTGATGCCATACTCAGTCTACAAGAAATTGGGATTGGGAGATGTTCTAAAGCCTACTCGGATCACTCTCCAATTGGCTGATCGATCAGTGAAAATTCCAAAAGGAGTGGTGGAGAATGTATTGGTGAAGGTGGGAAGGTTTATTCTCCCAACAGATTTTGTAATCCTGGAGATGGAAGATGATCGGGGAGTGCCTCTAATCCTCGGCAGACCTTTTCTAGCAACCGGTGATGCAAGGGCAGAAATCCTTGCCAGGTCACCTCAAGTATAGATATTTGGGTAAGGATTTCAATCTTCCTGTTATTATTCCTTCTTCACTGACATTGAAACAGGAAGAGTACCTGCTTGAGGCGCTGCAGTACCACCTACGCCTCACTAGAGGGTCTAACATGCCAGCTAAGAAGGTCATACCCAATTTTCGCACACCTGGCCCTGCAGAGGTGACTCATATGCTGGATGGAGGTTATGCGTTCTACCATTGCTCGGGAGGGTATGCTGGATACCTTTCCATACCCATTGGTTGAAAGCTCCATAAACGTCAGGCTGAGGACGTTAAACAAGCGCTTCTTGGGAGGCAACCCAAGGTAAGTTTTCTTTTCTTTATTTTTATTTTTAGTTGTGTCAAACCCGTGCATGTTTAGATTAGGAGTTGAACATTAGGGACAATGTTCCATCCTGAGTGTGGGGTGGCGAGTCTTAGTGTTTGTTTGTTCCTTTTGTCATGTGGTCAGTAAAAAAAAAAAAAAAAAAAATTTGTTTGTTCCTTTTGTCATGTGGTCGGTAAAAAAAAAAAAAAAAAATTTCCAAAAAAAAAAAAAACAAAAAATTTGCCATTAGGTTGAGCACAGCCAAACTGCATGCAGTTTGCCTGTGTAAAAAGCAGTCTGCCTGTGTAAAAAGCAAGCTGCCTGTGTAAAAAGCAAGCTGCCTGTGTTAATCTAATGGCTAAAAAACACCTAAAAATCAGAAAAATCAAAAACAAAACCTTGTACTCTTGTGGTAACATGATGTAAATGACCGTGATGCCTTGAAAATGAGTTTGTGCTTGAATGAAATCATCGAAATCACCCCACTAGTGTTGAATTGCATAGTTCTTCACAATGAGCTTGAATGTTTTGACTGACTTGATATGCTTGGAATGAGCAACTCTTTTAGCAACATTCTCTTTTGTGAGGATAGTGTAATGACTTTTGGTGAAGTAGTTAGGTGGAGAACATTGACCATTCGACATGTTTGGATACCGTGCTTACTTGCATCAATTGTGAGCTTTTGATTTTGCAATGAGTCTCTCTGTTTTGAATGTTTTATGATGGGGTGAACTGTATCTTCATAAAAGAAAACACTACCTGACAAGTAAAAGATAAGAAAGTTGCCATAACAATTAAAGTGTGGGTAAAAATGCCAAAATCGTGTGAGGCAATCACTCATTGCACATGGGGATGAGGAAAGATTCAATTGAGAATCGGTTCGCGACCGTACGATGTTGCTTATCAAGTACGATCCCCAGTTGAGTGAAGTGCCATTAGAGGATGTGAAATGACCCTCCACACGGACCGAGGAAAAGGAGTTGAAAGAAGCCCTTATGCGAGTGCTAAGAAGCAGAAATTGCTCTTGCTCGGTCACAGGTAGTAAGAAACAAATCCCACTTGTACTAAATACGACCTCTCGGCAAGCAAAAGCAGAAAGAGAGAAAGCCTCTCCTTGTCATAAAAGGTAGTGATGTGCTTAAAATTAAAATCTTGTTTGCGAAAGGCTTCCCCCATTAGTTTTTGAGACTCATGCATGATTAATTGCTTATGATTGGTGTGAGTAAGCCAGATTGTCCTCACGAGATATGTACCTCACTGATGTGGTTAGATTCTCCTAATAACTGTTGCACCATAAGTTGTTAACCACCCGCTACCGACGATCGAAATTGAGTGTTGCTATTTGAGTTTTTGATGGATTCGAGTCAGTCAATGGTAAGGGTTGCAAAGAACTTGAGTGTGGGGTGAAAGGGTATGATCAATAAAGCACAACTCGTCCGTTGAGAAAGAAACTACTGATTACAACAAGAGTACAAGGAAATTTTGTGTTTTGCTTTGAATGTTGAGTCTGTAATGTGTCATTGTTTTGGATGATTATGTGTTTGTGTTGTTTGAGTCGTTGCTTAGGGACAAGCAACAATTGAGTGTGGGGTTGTGATATTCGGCTTTAATATATCGGATTCTTGGACTTTATGTGATTATTCATGGTATGTTTTAGCCAATTGGTGCTATTTTAGGGCTCGCTAACCCGAGAATGGTTGAAAAACCATTACTGCCTAGTGCTATGAGTTTGATGTGTTACAGGTGGAGAAAGAACGAAAAAGAAGCGAGTGCACGAACAATTGATTGGGCCCAAATCACCCCACCTCGGGAAGAATTAATTTGGGCCGGGGACTTTGGAAAAGGCGTGGGCGGACTTTTCTTTTGGGCGAGACAAAGCCCAAAGGAATTGGACAAGAGCTGGGCAATTAATTTTTGGGCGGACATCTCTTGGGGGAAGTGAAATTGCTGGAGAAGAAAAGAATTCTCTTTGGACACGGAATTGAGAAAGAATAAAAAACAAAGAGGGCAGCAGCTTGGTGGAGGACGGAACAGAATTTTAGAAAGGGGAATTCTTTTTCGGGCGGAACTAATTTTCAGGACGCGACTTCTTTGGAAGGGAATTCTTGGAAGGCGAGAAAAGCAAAAGGGCTCAGGAGCAAGAGCAGCGAGCAGCAGTGCGATTGCAATTGACGATCGATTTCTTCAAGGCTTGAGCTGAATTCAACGAGAGCGATTATTTGGTTGGATTTTCTGAACCGAATTAGTTGTTTATTGTTGATTTAGAACATGATGATCAAAACCCTATTGTTTTATCTTAATTTCGTCATGAACTAAACCCCAATTTCTGGGGGAAACACCATAGGATGTAGCTATTTCTTGATTTGATGGATTGATTCATGATTCTTTTCTTCCAATCTCTATTGCATGAAACTACTTAATGCTTTGTGTTGACTGGCCACCAATACAACGATTTGTAGTTAATTAGGTTATTAGCGACAGTGAAACCCTATTAACTGAACCTGTTTCATGTGACATAGTAACTTATCGAAGCGACAGTGGATTAAATAAGGTGCTATGCAGTCTTAAATAGGATATCGATCTTCACGCTATATAGTTAATTCATTGAGCTACGACAGTAGGATTTGAATTGATTATTTAGTACGTAGTAATTCCCGACAGGGATAGCTAGCACAGTAGTGATATCCTGGCTGTAGAGGTATGGATTAAATTGATTGGAATATGTGAATTAATCTGGATAGGATAGGTAGTGAATCCCGGTGTTTCTCCCAGAGCTTTCTCCCATTGAATTTTCCTCGACAAGTTTACTTTGCTTAATTAGTTTAATTATTTTGCTAGTAGATCATAATTTCATCTCTTAAACATTTTCACATATAGTTTGCTCGAAAGAATTGATAAATCATAAGGTTGTACCAGTCCCTGAGAGACGATACCCGGACTTTCCGGTTTTACTACAAGATAGGAATTGAAGCTATACGCTTTTGACCTATCACATTACCTATGCAGTGCAGCAGCTTGCTCAGTTTCAATCAGCTCCATGTAATGGACATTTGCAAGCTGCACACAGGGTGATCAGGTACCTGAAGCAAACAATTGGACAGGGACTGATTTTCAGGACAGATGCCAAGCTAGAACTGTCTGGATTTTGTGATGCTGATTGGGCAAGTTGCCCAGATTCAAGGAGATCTTTGACTGGCTACTGCATGTTTCTGGGAACCTCGTTGATTACATGTCTTCCTCAGAAGCAGAATACAGAGCCTTAGCTCAAGTAGTCTGCGAAGTTTAGTGGCTTAGAAATTTACTTTCAGAGATGGGTGTTAAGGTACCTCTACCAATCCCTTTGTTCTGTGACAACAAGTCTACATTGCATATTGCTGAAAACCCAGTTTTCCATGAGCGAACGAAGCACATTGAAATCGATTGCCATGTTACCAGAAAAAGGCTTAAGTCAGGGTTGATTAAATTGCTTCATGTGAGAACTGATGATCAAGTAGCAGATCTGTTTACCAAGGGGATGACTCGTTATAGATTGAAGTTTCTTCTAGACAAGCTGGGAGTGCACAATGCTTACTCGCCAGCTTGTGGGGGAGTATCAACCGATGAAGATGATGATGCTCTGCAGCAGTGAAGATGCAGAGGCTTCAGAAGAAATGAAGAACGAAACGCCACCCAGAAACGGAAACGTTTCTGGGTTCCCTCCACTCAACTTCAACGAAGAGCCGAAGCGACGTCGTTGTGGAGTCTCGGAGTTAACCGTTGAGTGGGTTTTTACTGAGCGAATGAGTGTGCGCCACCTGGCGTTTTTCTATTACTTTAACTTTGAATTTCTGTTTTTCCATTTCCGTTTTTACGGTTTTGTATCTTGAAGAACACATTTCTGGTTTTAATATAAAAGGAGCTGCAGAGAGATCCCTTGCTCTCTTGCGCATTTCTCCAATCTGTGTCGCATTCTTCTTCTTCTTCTTCTTCCGCTAAACCCTAGCACCAGCTAGGTTTCTCATACGCCCTTGTAACCATCGTCCAACTTACTCCAAACTCCAAATCGAGAACGAAACTGCAGACAAATGAGACGATCGCCGCCGGGCAAGATGAGTATATGACGATTGACAAGTGTCTCCCCGTCCGTCGTCCTTTTTCTGACTCGAATGGGCCTTAAGGGCAAAGGCGTCCTTCGGATTTTTGAATCAGTATTTTGCTGAGAGCAATTTCGATAGTGATTGTCTGGTTTCTTATTCCTTTTCCCTGGGTGGCCTACTAGCTTCGGTCTCGTGTTACATTTTGCTAATTATATATTCACCTAAAATTTATCAATTCACACCCTCTTTTTACGTCATTGTTTTTTGGGACTTTTTGAAGGTGTTCAGGCTTCTGACGCTAACATTTTGCATCATAAGATAAGACTTTATGTTACCCAATTCACGTAAGTTGACCCGGTGTTCCCGCGCTAATTCATAGAAAAGCGAATTTTTCGTAAAGCGTTCGAAATTCGCGATTTTTGTATCGCTAGAGCGTAAACTCTTGAATTAAGAGCGCGGATTCCACCACGATTGTTATTGGCGATGCTGATATACTGGCAAGCAGGGGAGAAGACAAATACTCTCTCCCTCGGACAAACGTTGCGGTTGAGGATGGTAAAGAAAAGACTATGGGGGAGAGTAGCTGAGATTTGATTCTGACGATCTCCTTTCAAACACTACTTGCATCTCTCTACGCCGTCACGACGGAGGAACAGAGGCGGCCGCATAAAGCTGTTAAGCGGAGATGAAGCAATGAAGGAAGCTAAAGAGTTATGGGGCGGAAGTTGAAGATAAAATCGGAGCGTTGGCAGCTAATTTGGAACAGATGAGTGATGACCGACGACATCAGAGGAAATCGGGAGCGGATAAATCTAGAATAGGGGTGGATTGACGGTACCGAAGGAAGAAGATGTGAAGAGAGACAGTATGTTTTTTTTATCGAAACCTGCTATTCAACTTTATTAAGTGGGAACCGGCATTACATTGTCACTTACAAGCTGATCCACCAGATTCAGCTGTGGCCTATCAAACCAAACATCCGCTATATCCATCTTGCTCTCGTGTGAGCCAGAATATGTGATGCTTCATTTGTCTGTATACTAACATGCATCACCTGCCCGACTCCGGTCATCACCACCAGCCTCGTAAATCTCCTAAGCACCGTCCCAAGTTCTGTGTGAACTTCATTTGCCTTCTCCAAATGGTTTACCACACTTAACCAATCAGTTTCCACAAGGAGTGAAACTAGTTAGTGTTGTCTAGCTAGTTGAAAACAAAACTCGACTGCCAAAGCCTCACCCAAAGTGGGGTCGTGAATCCCTCTTACCCTCTTCACCCCTGCCAAAATGAAAACTCCATTATGGTCCCTTGCTACCACTCCCAGCCCTACTCCTTCGTCATCTATACCCGCATCCATATTTATTTTGATTCTTCCCAACGGAGGCCTCGACCAGGAGAGAGCAGGTGGTGGCGACACCAGGTCATAGTGCTGCTGTTGTTGCCAATATTCGTCCATGTACGTCTTCTCTTTTGGGACTATGTCTCCTTCATCCGTCTTTTCCCATTAAAAAGGTGAGTATTGTGCTCCCTCCAAAATGACCACAACAAAATGATCCATTCTTCCAAAACACTTGTTTCTACTGTAGCTATAACCTTTCGTACCCAGTCCAGGTAACTAAGGCTTGCTCGCAGCTCAAAACACGGAGCTGTTACTGACTACCGCCATAGTCTACTTACCCAAGGGCACTGGAGGAAAGCATGCACTTGTGTCTCTAGCTGATCACTAAAGGGACACACGCCACTTTGTTGCGGGTTCCGTTTATGCACCCTTTCACCAGTGGCCAAAGCTTCTCTTGTGAATTTCCACATAAATATCTTTACCTTCGGTGGCAGCTTGAGAGACCAGAGTTCCTTTCATAGCACCGAACCTCCAATGCTTCGATCTTCAGGTTGGTTTTGGAAGTTCCTCAACCACACCTTATAACCCCCTTGGCCGTATATTGGCCATCTACAATGTCCGTGCAAATCAAACGATATTGATCTCCTGAAGAGCGCAAAAGAATTTGTTTTATGGCTTGCACTATGCTTGTTGTAAAACAACTTTCTAAAAGTGTATCATCCCACTTCTTTCCCTCCTCGTCAATTAGTTTCCTTACCACGGCATCCACAGGGAGCCCCATTGGCGGTGACTCGATAAAGTAGTTTTGAGTCGATGGCAACCAACGATCTCCCCATATGCGTATGGACGCCCCATTGCCAATCCGCCACCTCAGACCATCCACTAGGAACTCTTGAGCACTCACTAGACTCTGCCACACATAGCTAGGTCGATAACCCACCCGAGCCTCCAACACTGGTATTTCGCCTTCATTAACCTTGTTACGAGGGATTCCGGACGCTGGTAGAGGTGTCAAAGCTGCCTTGCAAGCAAAGCTTGGTTGAAACCCTTTAGGTTCCTAAAGCCAATGCCACCCTGCTCCTGGGTACAAATCAGTGCCTCCCTCGCCACCCATGGGGTCTTCCTCTCCTCTCCTCGTTGTCCCCACCATAATCGTGTAATCAGTGTGTGTATTTCATCAAGTATGCCATCGGGGACTTTAAAAATGGACATAGTATAGGTTAACTGCGCTTGTGCAACCGACTTAATCAGTACTTCACGCGCGGCAGCTGACATCGATCTCTCCTTCCAACCTGCAAACTTCTTTCGGATACGATCTTTTAAGTAAACAAAAAGGTCCTTCTTGGAGCGTCCTACCTCACTCACGAGAACCATCCCAAGAGTAGAGCTAGCCATCAACTTTTGGTGCGGCTTTACATTTGCTCCGATAGTTACTTCCGATTTCTCCAGGCTGACCAACTGGCCAGATTCCTTTTGGTAGTCTTCAAAAACTGAGATGGTATGTGTTTAATGAAAAGCTATTGTATTCTTTTTAATGGAGGTGGGATATGCGTTTTTTTCTCGAAAAAATTAGATGTGTTCGGGAATTGATTAGTACTATTAATTGGTAGTTGTTCACTTGTTCCATGAACTGCAATTGAATTGGAAATGATGTTTAATAGAAACAAGAAAAATTATATGTATATATTCACAAATTACATTTATGTAAATATTCAAAAATTTCATTAATGTTAATTTGAGGAATTAATTTTTATAATAGTTCATATTGTATTTAATACTTTACAAAGAAATATAATTTATTAATTAAAATAATTTAATAATAACGTTCTATTCACGCTCTCAACATTAAATTCATCAAATATTAACGCACTGACGCTCTCCCTCCCGCTCCCGCTACACGTTTTGGTTACCTAACATAAGACTATGGGCGCTCATTTTTTTTTTTGCTAGGTTTGTCTGTATTGTCCAGCTGAAGACTGGACTTTGTCGAATCCCATCCCTCTATCTCATTGTTTCCCGTCTTCAGCTTGTAGTGGGGTGACATTGTCTTTTCTCTCCGGCGATGGGGTCTTTCTCTCTAGGACGACAACTATTTGTGAATCAACGAGGGTTTCGGCGACTCCCTTTTGTTTCCTCCGGCATCTTGTCGGTGAGCAATTGTTCACAAATGATCAATACCAATCCAACCAATACCATTCCATTCAATACGCGTCTTGTCAGTCAAGGTCGGTTTCTTACTTATGAACCATGGATCTCTCCCGTGCTTTGTAGATGTGAGATTCGCCTAAGGTGATATAATAACCCCTATACTGTTGTACAACAACTAGAAGAGTTCGACTCGAGCATTTCTACTATGCTATATAGTATTGGTGCTTTAATGTACAACTTAAAGTTGTACCATAACATGAAATGTATAAGTTTAGATTGTACCATAAAAGAATGATATACCCTGGGAGGGTGTATGTTATCAAAGTCACGCAGCTAACGACTCAATCGAAGAATCGATTGAGCTCGAATCAAGAACGAAGCGTTCTTAATACGAACTTGGATAAAACGGAACCAAAAGGACAAATCCACACCTGGGATAGCTCGATTGGTATAAAGGGGTAGTTGCTCGACCACTATTGAAGTGACTATTCAATCGATACACAAGCTCAGCAAGTTTGGAATCCACCAAACCCAAAACAAGTCGCAACTTGCACAAAACCAAAGGTTTATTTTTCGATTAATCAAAGTCTTCTGTTTTTACAACGTAAATGGAGGGCTATTTATAGCCAATAAAACCTAATACAAATCTAGATGAACAAGGAAACAATTAAGGTAAAAACAAACTCTAAAAATGACTCAAAATTCGGCCATAAACTTCCTTTCTTGGCGCACAAGTAATCTACCCGCAAAACAGTCAAAAGGCAGCTTTCATACTAACTTCGCGCCTTTTGTTCGAGGCTTTCCCGAACTCCAATCCTTCATTCAATTCCTTCCCTTTGTTCACAAACATACCTAGTTTCATGTTGTGGAAGCCTTTTGACTTGAATCCCATCCATTCTCCTTGAATTGAGCTCCAAAGTAGGCTTCACAAAACAGTTTTCTGCCTTAGTCATTTTCTGGCAGTTTTCCAGTTTTGAGGTAGCAACTTTAAGGCCTTGGAAAACAACCTTAATGACATCATCTGGATCCACAAAGAATACCATTGGAAACATGACAAATTTATCTGTAAAACAATCCCTTAAACTTGCATTTCCACCAAGCCAATAGAGAGAAGAACCATGCCTCCAAATTATGTACCCTGAACACGGATTTTGACTTAGCCAAATTCTGCCTTTATTCTTCCCAACTTTGATAGCTTCTTTGTCAAGTACTTGTGACGTGAATGGTGGGCAATTTTGGATCATATCAAAGAATTTGTACCATTATGTTATGGTACAACTTTACAACTTGAAGTTGTACCATCACATAAAGGTACAAGTTCAAGTTGTACCATAAAAGAATTTGTACAAACAGTATAGGTATAATCCAAAGTTGTACCATAACTTTAAATGTACAATTTCAAGTTGTACCATAAAAGCAAAAACCTATAGCACCAATACTATATAGCATTGTAAAATTCCTCGTTCGACTCGGGTTCTTCCATACTCCGTCAATAGCTGCTCCCCAAACCGCTCCCAACGCCGGCAACTCCTTGTTTCCTCAAGAGTAAAAAATCTCCGTCAAGCACCTTGTTATCTCTTATTCTATTTCCGACGCTCACTTCCCTTCTTAGTTCCACCGTTGTTGAATCAGTCATTGCACTCCTTTATATGATCAACACTTGTTGTCACAGCGATTTCGTTGAATCACTTTTCATCTCCCTTGCCCTCCAAATTAATAGTTCACTTTTTCAAGTTCATAACTCTGTTAAGGGGTCATTTGAACTGGAGCGACGCTCTTTCACAGCAAATTCACGCTTCAAGAGAAAGAAATTCGCATATTATAAACGGATTTCCTCTTATTCGCGCTTTAGCGCTCTAAAGCGGGAGTGTTGGGCCTTGGCCCATGAATCATGTTACCTAAGTCAGGAGGAGTATTCCCTCTCTCCATAAATTAAAAGGATATATAATAATTAAGAGTTAATATATTTGGATTGCGCGAACTTTGACCAAAATAAATATCCTGACCAAAATTTTCGATCTATAACATCCTGGCCCAAACTATACATCAAAATAACTAAATTGGCCAAACCCGACGTTTGACCGTTAACTTGGACGGTCAAAAGCGTTGACTAACGGTCAACATGTCATGTCATCACCCAATCAGCTTAAATAAACTTAAAAAAATTCACATATTTCTCAAAATTTGAATTTTAACTATTGAAACTTAGATAAATTATAAAAAAATAGAAATATAATAGATTGGATTCGCTCCCTTCCGTCAACTACCCATTCTTTAACCCATGAAAATTAAAATAAAAATGAAATCCTAACTCAAAATCTAATCCCTTCCCCCACCGCCATGTCCCGTGCTAATAACCGCCGCCGCCAGATTCTACGGAACCCTCTTCGCCATCTTTTCAGCTTCCATCCCCGAAATCGACGGAACCTCCTCGGCTCCACGATCTTGTTTGGCAAAACCAGAAACAAAATCCCAACATCCCCTTCCTTCGCTGCCCCTTCTCGCTCTAAACCCCCAGAGGCCAGAACAACCGCCTCTCGAACGGTAAAATGATGGCGATGCTCCGACGATCTATTCAGCTCCTCTCTCGAACTTGCCGTTTCAGATCTGCTATAAAAACCGACCGATCTCATCCTCCTCCTCCTTCTATTCCCATTCCATCGAAACTCTCCCCACCGGCTATTTCTCCAAATCGGCTTCCTTTTCCAAAATCAGAAGAACCTCCCTTAATTTCGCAATCTAGTTATGCTGCTAATCCTTTAAGTTGTTAGCAGGTACTAACAGGGCATGATTAATGTCCACGTCGCCTTGCCACCATCGGAGGGTGAGGGATCGCCGGCGCTGTGATGTGAGGGTGGATTGATTTTTTGTCCTAGCCGAGCCACTTTTGGGAGAAGTGGGGCCAGAAAAAAACCCAAATTTTCAAACCCAAAACCCGATTCTCTCTCCCTCAACCCGCGTTTTCCATTCTCCCCTCTCTCTCCAAAAAAACTTTCGAACCCTCTCCCTCTCTGTTTCTTCTTCTCCCGAAAACCACCACCAACAAAAGCGACAACGACGACGGCTGCAAGGTCGGCGACTGCTGCGAGGTCGGTGACTGCTACTTGGAAACCACGCCGATAACGACTTTGAATCTATCCCGACGAGGAAGAAGACGCCGCCGACGAAGAAGGACGAAGAAGACGAGGACTTCGCCGACGAAGAAGGAAGACGCCGCCGCCGAAGAAGGATATTGCTTTGGTTTCAGGTTGGCTTTTTCTCCTCTCTTTATTGTGCATTTTGTTTGTGGATAGTAAGTTAGGGTTTCATGGATTTTCTTTGCGGAAATCTGGGTTTTGTTTATCGATTTCAAAATTTAGGGTTCATGCGATTCGATTTAGGGTGTTTAGGGTTTTGATTCTACATTTCCAGATTTTGTGTCCGTGGGATTCGAATTTGGGGGTTTAGGGTTTCGTTTCTCGATTTGTAGATTTTGGGTTTCATGGATTCGAATATGGGTGTTTAGGGTTTTGATTCTAGATTACCAGATTTTGTGTTCGTGGGATTCGAATTTGGGGGTTTAGGGTTTCGTTTCTCGATTTGTAGATTTTAGGTTTCATGGATTCGAATATGGGTGTTTAGGGTTTTGTTTCTAGATTACCAGATTCTGGGTCTGTGGGATTCGAATTTTGGGGCTCTGAATTTTTTTTTCCTAGTTTCCAGATTTATGGTTTCTCGAATTCCATTTTGGGGGTTTGTTGGATACGATTTTGGGGAATCTAGGTATTGTTTGTTGATTCCTTGATTATAGGTTACATGGATATCAGTTTCGTCACTTTCGATACTTATTCTGTTCATTTTTTATATTGTTTCAGTATGGTTTCTCGAATTCCATTTTGGGGGTTTGTTGGATACGATTTTGGGCAGTCTGGGTATCGTTTGTCTATTCCTTGATTAAAGGTTACATGGATATCAGTTTTGTCACTTCTGTACTTATTCTGGTCATTTTTTATATTGTTTCAGTGAATGGGGAGACCGAAAAAGAAGTCAAAGCCCAACAATGAGGGAGAAGGATCATCACAGCAGCCGCCAGATGAACAATAACCATAGGTTTCATTTCTTACTCCGTTTCTCGATTGGTTATGTTGGCTAAAAATTAATAGTATGCATTTTAATGTTTTCCTTGGCTGGATAATTTTCTTACTCTCTAACTATGTTTCAGGAACAACCGGTGATGAAGAAATCCAAGACTGTTGCACCAAAATCTGCACTGAAATATCTTGAAGCAGCTGGATCATCACAGCAGCCACCGGATAAACAACCACCAAAGGTTTGATTTCTCACTTCGTTTCTCGATTAGTATATATTGGCTAAAAAAATAATCTGATGTGTGGATATCAGTTTTGTTAGTGTGGATACTTAACTGTTCGCTTTAGTTTTTTTTGTGGGTATTATGGATATTTTTTTCATGGATATGAGTTATCTCCGTTTGGATACACTTTTGCTTTACTACGATAATAATTGTATATATTGGCTTAAAAATCTACTCTGTGTGGATATCAGTTCTGTTAATGTGAATATTTAACTATGCGTTTTAGTTATTTGTCCAAGGATTATGGATATTTTTTCACGGATATCAGTTATCTCCGTTTGGATACACTTTTGCTTTACTAAGATAATAATTGTATATATTGGCTTAAAAATCTACTCTGATGTGTGGATATCAGTTCTGTTAATGTGGATATTTAACTGTGCGTTTTAGTTATTTGTCCAAGGATTATGGATATTTTGCTTAATATATAACTGTGTTTCATGAACAACCCGAGAGGAAGAGATCGAAAATGGTTGCACCGAGATCTCGTGAAGAAGGATCGAGGCAGCCGCCGCCTGCTATTCCAGAAGGTGAGGAGGAAGATGAGGAAGAAGATGATGAGGGAGAGGGACCCTGCGGCTCATACTTCAGATTTCGTGGCTCCACCTATTCCCTCTTCAAAATTATAAGCTACTGGAAACAAGATGCTGGATACTATGAAGCATGCAAGAAAGAAGTCGAGAAGGCAGGATTCGGGGGCCTATTGGAACTTCCCAATGTCTTCATGGACGACTTGATGGCTGCTTATGACCCCTCAACCAGTACTTTTGTTTTTGGGGAAGGAGAATCGAAGAAGGTGTTCGACTTCACACCCGAGGATGTGGCACGTGTGTACGACCTTCCTCTCGGTGGTGCTGTGATTGATTTGAAGAACGTTGAGGGGGGGATGCTCGACAGTTTCAGCGAGGAAGTTGGCATGATTCCTAACAGGGCTCACATGGTTCCTATCAAGAAGCTGCGGGAGTTGGCCATTCCAGCCAACGGTCCTATAACACCTGTTGCAATTGCTGTCAAGCAATTCTTGTTGCTAGCTACTGGTTCGATGCTCGTGCCAACATTTTCTCGGAGGTGCAAGCTGGACTCTGCCCCTTACCTAGGTGGGAGTGTTGAGGACGTGAGGGTGTACGATTGGTGTATATTTATTGTCCGTGAACTGAAAGTAGAGTTGACTGTTGTGAAGAAAAAAGAACATAGTGCAAGGGCGTTGGGCTCGCCGTGCGTGTGGGTTCTCGGAGATTG